ATGCATAACCGGGTCCAACATTACCAGGGATGCAAAGGGAGCAAGTGAGATGTCCAGGAATGTTTGAGACGGCTAGTTACATAGGTTATCACAGAGTAGTGACAGAAATGGTAGCATGATGCCAAACATGGGCAGCAACAGCAACCGCTAAGTCCGTAGGCATGACAGTCATCAGGGCCAACACACAACCCATGCGCGAATTGAATATGAAGACCAGCCCCCCTAATCTCGTTTGACAGTCCCCAGTCCAGGGTTTTGGGTTTTCGATAACCCTCAAACTTCCAAGATCAACAAGGGCCCACAGCCGGATTCTAGAATCTCCTCTGAGGCTAGCGAGTCCAGTATGTAAGCTGCGACTTTCCTGAGATATTTTGGGAGGCGCGAGTTATAGAACACCCAAAGGTCTAGGGTTTAGGGATAGACCAGGCGAGCATCAGAGCATCACCTTTTTTTTGGTTTCCCAAAATCGGGTACTCTTCGGGTGGTCTTTATACAAAGGATTAGAATTTTTGGGGCCCGCCGATACATTGCCTCTACCATATCCCCCAGTTTCCATTTCATTGCTGTCAACTTTTCCATTTGACTCCATTATTGAGATTAATATCCAGCAGCCCCCTATGTCATCCCCATAGAGAGTCCCAACCCAGTGTACCGAAGCCCCTAGCCTAGAACCCCATATATCTTAGGTGCACCCCCATACCCATTAATAGTGACTTTATGGGATTATGATGATGATATTGGGGTCCTCTTATATTCTATCATGCCACTATTAGATGGTGGGGGGTCCACCTATTTTATAAGCCAGAGTCTAAACTCCTAGCATCCCCCTTAACAACCCCTATAGTAGTCCCCTGTATAGTCCTTTATATAACCCCCTTTTAAGGACTTTCGACCCTACACCCTAGACCCTATATAACCCCCTTGAGGCTCATATAGAGCCCTGTATAGTTTGGGTTAGACCCCCACCCACTAATAGTGGTATACTAGGAATACATAGAGGCCTTGTCTCTTGTGGTCACTATTAGGGGGTGGGGGCCCTAAACCCCTAAACCCTAAACCCCTAAACCCCTAAACCCTTTTAGGGAGACGACGAGAGCAGCCTCGAGAGTTTTGGCGGCCTGACCGGCCTAAAAGCTTTCAGGACAGGTTTTTTGGGAGGGTTGGGGGGCTTAGAGGGTTTAGGGTTTAGGCTTAGGGGGGCTTAGAGGGTTTAGGGTTTAGGGTTTGGGGGGCTTATAGGGTTTAGGGTTTAGGCTTTGGGGGGCTTATAGGGTTTACCGGAGCCCCAGAAGTATGTAGAATCATGGCTTTTTTGGCTATATATTTTGGTGTTTACTGGCCTTTGGTTAGCTGGGAGTGAAGGAATGGAAAAGAACATGTAAGTACTATAATGGGTTATATAGGGACTACTATAACGTTCCGATCCTTCATTCCTAGCTAGCCAAGGGACAGTTTAGGGGCGGTTTGGTATGAGGGTTGGGGGGTGTGGGATTCAGGGCTACCTGGTCACTCCTGAAAGGCTTGTTATGTAGCGGAGTATTTTGTGGACCATTATGGCCTATAAAGGGGGATACTAGGAGTTCAGCCTAGAGCTCATTTAGTTACCATTATGGGGTGCATATACTTTACACAAATTCCTACCGGTGACATCCGGATCGCTTGGCCTGTCTGAGTTGTGCTACAGGTGCTGTATGAGGCAAAGTGAGGCAAGTTGGGGGTTGACGTCCAATGTCATGGAACTAGGGTTTCAGGGGTTTCGGGTTTAAGGGTTTAGGGTTTAGGGCCGCAGTCTGGCTTCCATGTCATGGGTACCTGTCGAGGATTGTGCGAATCACGCGCATCGTGAAGACCGTGCGCTTGATGCGCATCTTCCGGTTCGTCTTGGCGTTGAGGACACTAATCCATTCGATCTGGCACACCTTGAAGTCCTTGTCCCTTTGCGAAGAATGGCTTGACCACAGACCCCTGCATGCCACAGGCTATCACATGTTGCTGTTTCCCCGTCAGACAGATACCCTTGGCCCTGGAAAGTAAATGTGTAGGCGAATATGTAGAACCATGACTACAGCAGTGTAACGAGGAATGGGCCGTCAGGGCTGCAGCATCTTGCGAAACATGCCTGAGGTTCTGGGCTTTGGTGCTGCTGCTTCTGATCGTCTACGTGTTGCTTAGTTCTCCATTTCCAGTAGATGTTACTGCTTTCTGTAGCTTAAAAAGCCTAGTCTAATGCGCAACAGTTTTGCCTTCTGTGTTGGAGAAGTCAGGTTTGGTATGATCTTTACTCAAGCAGTAAACGGCCTCTTGGCTGCACGCAGCCGAAGAATTGCAAAGCTCTGGTGAGTGCAGCGTGGCTGCCCTACTTAATCCATGTTGCTGTCTTTGCAATGAATGTGCGCACCAGGACACCTTTACGATCCAGATGCCTTTCCTCTGTCGGATGAAAGTATAAACGTGAGCGAGCAACTTGTCGAGGTTTATTGTTGCTTGAACGGTCTCAAGGTTTTTTTGCCTTCATAAGCGTTTCGTCACGGCAGGGCCGAGTTTAGGTATCATCACTGGGTTAGTGGTCTGCCTGCTGGAGAGCAGACACTCGCAGGCAGCAACTAGCAACCAAGAACACTGAAGCACAAACTGGCAAAACAATGCTCTCCGCCATGAAGTTCCGGTTCCTCAACTGAGGGGTCACTCTTGCGGTTCTGCTTCTGTAAAGTAAATGTGAACTGCGGAAAGGAACTTCCATGTTACTTGTAAAACAGATGGTTCAAGATTAGGAATCATCATGATGGTCATTCTGGTAAGTCGTAGCATGGACCTCACATGCGAGCTGCACATCGCCAGCTGACGGATCTAAGGCTATACTTCGGAAAGTTGACGATAACAATGATGAGCCTCTTCATGAGCGTGACCGACGGGCTCAGTTGGGAGACGCTCGAGCTTGCTAGGCAGTTGCGGACTTCCCCCCCTCTCTACAATACAGACGGAATACAGTAAGTAATTGAAGCCTCTGTGTGATGGCACGCGTCATCGGCGGATTTTCACCTTTTCGGGCGCTGGACCTGCGCCCAATGTCCATAACTGCTCCAAGGAGCACCTGTGGCCCAAGCATGGTCGCCTCCATGCATGAGCACGCACATTCCGCAGCGCATCCATGCGAAAACCACAATCTCGTATTTTTGCTAGCGCACCGACTCTCCAGGGGTCCAGTCCAGGAGCATCCATGCAGCCAGCACCCCTGCGCGACCCTGGCAGCATTCATGTACAAGCGAGCATATAACATCGCCCCAGCGTCCAATGCATGAGCAGATAAAAACGCCACTGTAACAATAAGCAAGTGTCATGCCCTTACGAGAATGCCTTCAACTCCACAGAGCGCGAGGCAGTGGCGCAACGCATGGAGCATGGAGCCAAATTGCTAAATGCTACCGGTCGCTGTCCAATTATTGCTCGGGCCTTGGCAATGTGACAGAATACGCGAAGAACAGCTCTGGAGATCTCTCATAAAAATGCCAGACGGCCGAGTGAGAGCCCGATGAATGGGTTCTGGCTCGTTAGGATGGTGCGACACTTGGTCCTGAACTATTAGTTCCTGCAACTTGGATGCAGCTTAACTTCCGTTGCTTAATAAGGCTAGCTCAGCAGCCCTCACTTTATGGTGAACATGTTTTTGTGTTGATGTTTCTGATTTTTTCTGCTGCCTTATTCTGGTGTCCATGGTAAATATTAAGGAAAAATGGTCAGGGCATTTTATGGGCTAGCATTTTCGCCAGCCGAGACAGCTTTCCATGGACTCGATTCGGGGGTGGTTGCAGCCGCGTTCGCCGCAGGGGTTCCCCACAGTGCGCTTGGGGAGATGCAGAATCTGATAGCGGCCGGGCCTCTGACTCGCTTGAAGCCAGAGCCCAAAAAAAACATCACAGCTCCAAAGCCGAAAGCCATGGAGGAGTTGGAAGGAGAGGAAGCAGACAGTCGTGGGCGCTCCCGCCGAGCGTGGATCAAGTGCCCTGCTCAATGCACGGCCCAGCGCCCTGGAAGATCCCGGAAGCCTTGTCGAGGGCATGGTGCGGTTCATGGACGGATACCGCCAGCGGGGCTCATCTTCCAAAAGCTCGGCATCGCCTCTCGAAACGGCCCTGGACGGATCTGGCTCCCAGGATATGTGGGGCCAGGTGGCTCTAAATCTGGCGCGCAGGTCGACACGGCCATCGCTGGCGGAAAACGGAGTAGGACAGCTGGTGAGTTACGTGAAAAAGTTGCCAACAAGGCTCTCGATGCAAGTTGGCAACGGGTGACAATTGAGGACAGGAAACGATGGTACTCTTGCAAGAGAGGCTGAGTCGCACCAAGGTGTTTGTTTCCATGGCCAACCAATGACAGGCATGGCCAAGGGCCAAGGGATTTCCGAGTCTTTCCCTTGGTGCGATTCACGATTCAAAAACGTGGCCTGTGACGAATGTGCTGCCAGAATGGGCCTATAGCCTATAGTGCACGTCGCAGGGCAATCCCATCACTCCTGCTACCATGTGCGCGTGGATTGCTGCGGACGCAGGAAGGTGGGCGTTGCTTTTGTTGGGTGCTGCCGAGATATCAACTACAAGAATTGGGTGCCAATATTTCGGTCCAATGCCTCCAGTTTCCGGCTTGTCCTCCAGCGTGGGGCTGGGCCAAGGTCATGGGCGCTTCTATTGAAACCCTAGTGCGCCCAAGAGATATGTCAACGTATCTTTGGGAGGCCTTCAGAAAGCCAAACGCGCGCAACCCCTTTGGAGACTTGAACTATCTGATCCTACCTTGCTTTGGTTACTCAATGTGTCGCAAGCTCGGGCATGTTCCTTAGCAGCTTCTGGGTGGTGCACGAAGCTTCTTCCGAGGATGGCCTTTGATAGTCTTTTTGCAAAGTGCAGGGTACAGGCACGAACAGGATGGCTACTTGTTTCATCCGTTGTGATGTCCATGGGCCTCTTTCCATGTAGAGTGCATTGCGTCAGGCGGCCCTTCGCTCGATTGATCAAACTGCAAGCACATGAGCAAGCAGCTGCTGGTGTAGCAACCTGCGCTCCTTTGTCGCGACTTTGAACGGTGGCGGTCGAAGTCCGACCAGGATGCATGTTGGATTTCAAGCCGTTAGCCACAGCAACCTCGCATTAAGCTGCAAAAAAACGCGCCCGCGAGCACTGCAGCTCTACAATGTGACAGGACTTTTTAAAGACACAGCGACATGAGGCAGCTTAATTTTTTTAAGAAGCAATTCGGAGCAAGCTGTTGCACAAGTGCCCGGACAGGTTGACTTCCAGAACCCATGAAAACAGTTTGCGTAAACTTCGACAGCAGGGCAAAATCTCCTGTTGGGATCAGTTGCGTCTCCCGCCATGGTGGCAACCATAACTGCTAGCGACCCCTACACTCATGTTTCCCCACTACTGCAGCGTACCAGGGCCTATGTGGCATCACTTGGTCTGCCGTCTGTCGTTGCCCTGCGTGCATGCAGGCATTTCTTTCAACGTCAGGTTGCTCGGCGTTTTGCATGAAAGGTTTGATTGGCTCTTCACGTCCACAGTTAGCGGCAGGAGCACGCTTGTCAGAAATACCATGGCGCTGTCCCAAATTTTTTGGCAAGTTCGCGACGATACCGACGACGGCAGCTTCGGCTGGTCCAGTAGCGCATGCTCGTTGGCACGACAAAAAGGTCCCAAGCGTGCGTGTAATAAAGACTGTGTAGCCAATGTGTTTTCATTCATGTTTGCCGCAGCCGGCAAACCGTGCAGACATAGTGTATCTTTTCTAGGGCTCATGGTTTCAAGTTGAAGCTTTTTGTGCAAACGCGGACATCATGGCCCCGAGGTTTGGGGAAGATTCCGCGTCCAGGGTCAGGCTCCAGACACATTTTGGACGTGAGAGGGCGTATGGCTGACGGCTTCCGGCTCTGATTTCGCAAGTTCAACAAAAGTTTGTGCAGGGAAGTGGCTGGTCTGATGGAGGTTTGGAATCACAGACCATTTGCCATCCTAGCATAAGCCATGAAGTCGTGGAGGCACGCTGTCCTGTTTGGTTCCAGGTTGCGTACGAACGGTGTCAACATGACACTTGCGTTTGCATAGGGGTTTCCGTGCGACATGCGGCCTATAAGAAAGCATTCAAAGCAGATTGCTCAAAAACTCGCAGAAAGGGTTTGGGGTTTGATCTTCTGGCAAACCCTCTAGCGTTTTGCGGACAGCAAGAGTCTGATTTGTTTCGCCAAGCCGCTTAAGGTGCACAACGTCGTAGCAGGTGCAGATACACACCAATTTTTTGAGATTAATGAGGATGTGACTTTTTGCATGCGAGATTTCCGTGGGTGGGGAATTTTTTGATCCACAATGCATATGCAGGGCATGATACTGTAGCCTGATGCTTTGCTGCATGGCAGAAGTCGCAGCGTTTGCCCCGGATTGGCAGGATTTTTTTCGGGCTGGTGCATGGGATACGCATGGTATGTGTTTAGGAGAGGACAGGTTCAAACATGACAACGGGCACCGGTAAGCACAACTCAAACAGCAATGACTTTTGTTGTTTGCTGTAGTCGGCCCATTTATTCCAGCCTTAGGCCGCTTCGGAACATGTGTCGGAAGACCGGAATGGGTGCGGCCCGTTAGCGGTTAGCGGTTGCTTCAGAGACCTGTTCGAGTTTTCAAAGATGTTGGAATATGCTTTCACACACCACAATGCCAGGGCACCTGCATACGACATATCAAAACATTGCTCACAAACGTAGAATTTCCTTTCTTCCGCGTCCACCTAGCTGGTATGCCCATGATGACATTCCATGTTGATCATTATATGAAATTATATGTTTGTAAGCTGTTGACAGGATCCTTTTGTGTGAACTTGGAAAGGAAAATCAGTCGCCCGCTTGGTGAGATCTCGCCCATTTGGGCTGGACTGTTCTTGCATGTCGGCAGCACCAGTGCAACGCAATTCTAAGTTCTAATTCTAAGCACCGTTCCACTTGCCTGATAGCTTGTAATGGGAGTTGGCATGGCGATGCCTGAAGGCTTTGCATCTCCAAGCGGATGCCGGTAGAAGAACAAACGGACCCAACGTGGAATCCCAGCAAGATGTTTGCAGAGCTGCCGAAGACAAGGTTTTACGTTTCTTTTACATACTTCGCTGTGCTCAACGTCCTGACAGCCGTGTTCTGCATCTTGCCGCATTCAGATGTTTCAAGCTTGTGGTTGCTCTGGGCGGTCAAGGTTACAAACAATGTCCGCACCGGCACGCTCAAAGTTAGGACAAAACGATTAAGAAAACGGTTTTCACACATTCGGCCTTGTGCCAACAGCCGACACAGCCAACGAAAACAACAGCACCACCACTTCCACCAGAACCACCAGCAGACCTTGCAGCAGCAAGCAGCCAACCAGCCACACAGCCAACCATAAATGCTATTGCAAAAACAACAACAACCCAGCAGCAAAAGCAGCAAAATTACAAGAACAGACGGCAGCCGCAACGGCCACCGCAGCAGCAGCAACAGCAGTAACTACTATTTCTGTTACGGCAACGACTCTTAGTAGTACCACAGTGAATACTAGCGTCCGGACCAGCAGTACCATGATTCTGACACAGCCACGATTACCACGGACCACGCAAGTCATGATTTCCAGTGTTGCTATTGGCAGTGTTCCCGTCACAACCGCCCATCTTTATTTTACTACCATGACGACGACGCGTACGTACGAACCTACTACTACCACTACTACTACTACTACTACTACTTCTTCTTTTTCTTCGGTTGCTGCTCCCACTACTACTTTTACTTCTACTACGACTGTTGCTGGTTCTACTGCGAGTTGCTAATGCTAGCTTCTGCGGTTGCTGCTGCGCCAATAGTATAAAGTAAACATAGTACGAAGTAAGATCATGGCGACCATCTCGTACTGTCACCACACGACCAACACAACCACGACGACGATATTACACTTGTTATTGGATTTTGAGAACGACAACAGTCACAGCAAAAAGAAGAAGAATACGGAGCAACAAACAGACAACCACAACCACTGCCACCACCCTTTCCGCTGCCACCACTGCCACCACCCCGACCGCCGCCACCACCGCCGCCACGCTGCCGCCGCCAACACCGGCACCGACACCGGCACTGCCGCCGCCACACCACCCCCTACCCATGCCGCCCACCGCCGCCGCCAGCGCCACAGCTCCCGGCAGCATCGCAACCACAACCACGACTACCACCACTACCACCACTACCACCACCATCACTTCCGCCCATGACGAGTACCACTTCCACGGCCACGCCGCTTACCACTACTACCGCTACCACCGCTGCCACTGCCACTGCTGGCCGCGGCGCCTTGCAAACAGAATCCATACTGTAGCCATGCCATAAATGACGGGCCCGTATTTGGCCTTTACCCGCCTACCCAACGACTGCTTCTCAGGCCAAAGCGCCATTGAGAGTGCGCAGAACGATCACGCAACGGCAGTGCAGTCCATGATAGCCAACAAGGACTGGAGAGATTTGCAACACGAGCCCTGTTACACGCAGATGAGGCTTGCAGGTCCCAATTTACTGGCTGGCCGATAGCACCATAGCTAGTTTTGTTCTTTTTTCTTCTGCAGTTCGCTAGCAGCGCATCTTTGGTGTCACGCCTGAAAGATGTGATGGTGTCACCTAATTCAGATACCTGTTTGCCTGCCAGGAGATGCATCTCAAGAAAATCCGCGCGCTTTTCAACGAGCTGGGCAATGAACAATCTGGCATGATCACCTTTCACCAGCTGCTCGGCTGGGGCAATTTCATCATTAATTTTCTTGACCATATCTATGCAGGACTATATGTGGTTTCCCTAAATCTAGGGTAAAGGGTGGTTCTGATTATTAAGCACCCCCCTCGCCCCGCCCAATCAAATTTCGGCAAACTTGTGTGGGGAGGGGGGGGGGGTCTTGAGCTCTGTCAATTGCTTTTCCATCGCCGGGATCATTTCGGTTCTCAATTTGGCAAAAAGTTCGCTCTATTCCGTACCCATTATTAATCCGTTCAACCAAAAGTTCGCTGTATTGCGACCCCATTTGCTAATCAGACCCCAATAGTACTGTTGGGGAGTCTAGAGAATATTTTGGGGTCTATATATTGGATTCTCTCTACTTAGGGAAATTACCATAAAGTGTCTATATACATATATTTTTCCTGTATATGTGAACTCCTTCATATCGTTGAGTTTCAATCCCAAAGCCCAGCCTACATGCCGCAACAACCCTGAAACCTCAAACCCTAAGCCCAAGACCTGTGGATGCTCACGTGAACGCAAGGCTTTACCTGGCAGCCATGTAGTATATGAGCCAGAGTCTAAACTCCTTAAAGGGTGTCACATAGGGGAGTATTATAGGGGCCATTGTGTAAAGGGATGCTGGGTTTATAAGTCAGGGAAGGCCATGGCGTTTAGGTGTTGCTTGGGGCCCTGCCGGGGTGAGATAGCATATTAAGCTTACTGGTTCTTAGTAGGGAATAAGCAAATCTACTCCCTAGATAATTTCTATATCATATAACGCCCCCATTTCCGATTAAACCCCCAGTAAGTAAGGGGCCTTGACGTTGCACAGGTTCGAAGCCAAGATCAACTCGGCAGAAGTCAGAGAGTACTTCGAGACGCTGGGCCTTGATGCCTTTCGGCGAGATGCCGGTTTCGGGCTTAGGGCTTACAATATTGAGGGTTGAGGGTTAGGGTTTAAGGTTTAGGGTTTTGTAGCTTCCGCTTTCTTGTCCATGATTCCTATCTTATCTCTATATTCCACTATTCCCTGAGTTACCCCTACATGACCCATGTATTATGTGTTCTTTGGTCTAAACTCCTCAACGGGTGGCGCATAAGGGACTGTAGAGGGGAGTATTCCATGGGTTACTAACTGGGATACTAGGAGTTTTGCTTGTAGCTCATGTACACTCCCCCAAACTAACATGGAACCCCATATAGCCCCCCCCCTTAAAGGGACTGTAGTGTTTATAGGGCCCTTTTTGGGTTTCCATGTTAGTTTCCGGGAGGGTAAGAGCTTTAGACCTGCCATGTAATCAGGCAATGAGGAGACAATCGGGCAGTGCAAGGCGAAACCCAGATAACCCAGACCCGTGATTGATAAATCACCTCCCCTTAATAGGGATTATAATAAGGATCCTTTAATATTAGGCCCTTAAAAGGATATAAATGATATTTATATACCTATATAGTTCATTCATCATGGGTCTACATTAGTCTTGCAGCTTCAAGTCACCTCCATTGGCAGGTTGAAGATGCCTGGAGCTTTTTCAAACTGCTGGATCGAGATGGTGGGGGATCCGATCTTCGGCAGCATTCTCCTGAAAAAACGATTATGGAGTTGTATGAGGCTTCGGGGAGAGAAGAACTGGTAATGGTAATAGTAATATAATATAGCAAAAATAATAGGAATAGTAGTTATAACTGGACTGTTTCAGAGGAAGTGGACTTCCCTGTGTTCTCGTCCCTTTAATTCCCTACTTGGCACAGGGATGCGAAGGCCACTCTAGCGCACGGTGGTCGACATTCTAACGCTAGCCGTGTCATCACACATCTTTTGTACATCGTTAATGCTCTTCAGGCCTCCGCCGATTTCTTGCACTAACGACCTGCAGACTGTAGACCTGGAGCACGGACTACGCCTGACAGCACTTAGTGCCAGTCTGTGCAATTTGCCGAAGACCCGCACGACAGTTTTTTTGAAAGGAGCAGTGACCCTCACGATCCTGATCTATGACGGTGTTTTTGAAAGCTAGTCCAGTAGACCTTATCCCAAGCAAGTCTCCATTTTGGGCAACTTGGAAATGAAGCAGAGTTTAGGGAAACACGCCAGCAGGCTTGCAATCTTGTAGCCATGCCCGAAGCAATGACCAACGAGTGCAATCTGTGACACTCAAGGTGTACATTCCTCAATGCATCACATCAGTATCAATGCTCCTGTTGTGGGCCATTCCCTCTGTCAAACTCTCAACCTCTTCTCAGCTTAGTGCCCAACTGCCAGTGTGGGCTGTGTCGAAGTTTGCACGAGTGCAATCTTCCAAGGTGGAAATTGAGGAGTTTCTGAAGGGCTGCTTACGATTTCGAGGCGCCTCTGAGCATCGCAAGCTGAAGTGAAGTATGCAGAAGGTTTAGGGTAAGGGTTTAGGGTTTAGGGTTTGTCTGAGTTATTACCAACCTCACGGTCCTAGACTTTTACGGATACCTCAAGCCTCCCAAGCCATGATAGCCCCCTTGCAGTAGAACTTGCTTGGTGTGAGATCAATTCAGTGGTTTCCAAGAGGGGCCCCCTTAAACCCCAAATACGCCCATGTCATGCAGCTGTAGCCCTAATTATCAGCTATATAGTCCCAATACTGCAGTTTCCAGGCACACTACGTAGGTTCTGCTGACGTGGGTCCATTCTTGCATAGTCCTTGGACAGCCAAACCCGAAATCCTGCACACAAAGCCCTAAATCCCGAAAAAGCCTAAATACCATAGTCCCCCTTAAGTAGATAGAATATGGCTTTGGGTATATTATATAATAAAATCCCCATATACCCCATATTCTATCTACTTAAGGGGGACTATAAACTGTAAACCCTACAAGTGGTAAGCCGCCTCAGTGCCATCTTCATCCTGTATTGAGCAGGAGGGTTTAGGGTTTAGGGTTTAGCTGTACACGCCTTTCCTAGCCACTTAGAAGAAATTTCCACTAGGCGGAAAAGAGGCATCGTAAGCCAGAACTCCTGCAGAAAAAGCCCACATCCCTGTAGCCCCCCTTTACAATAGCCACATCCCTATAAACCCGTAAAACAAAACACCATAAAACCTTGCAAAACACCAAACACCCTTCAAAGAGACTCAGCGTGGTGTTGGCAGGCCAAGCCAAAGCGATTGACATCGGGCAATTGCTCCTGGGTCATCGTCAGGAACAATTTTGAGGGCTTAAACGGTCTCTGTGGTGTAGGGCTTAGGATTTAGGACCTTAGGATTTAGAGATTTGAGTTCAGCAGAGATTTAGGGTTTGGTGCTTCAAGGATTGGAGCTTGCAATTTTTATGGCTGAGGTGACTCACTTTCAGGTGCCTTTTGGGATTGGAGGACTGCTATATTTGTTGCGTAGTCTGCGAGGGGTGAGGGGTGTCTAATATCAAGAGCCAGCCTAATCAGAAACAAATGTAAAGGCGTTGAGCGTGTTTTTCCTACCACACCTATGATCGAGGCTCCATGATCAGAACTGGCTGATTCGAGACTTGGCTGCTCTCACGGCTTGTGCTAAAGGATGGGATGGATGATTAGGAGGATTTCTCCCTGCGCTAACTTTGAAATATTGCCATTGTTGTAGGGTAGCTGGATGCCCGTTGAACGTAATCACTTGATTTTGACGGCTGCAGAGAGAAGGGACTGCTGTTGCCCAGCCTAAAGGCCTAAAGTTTAAAGGACACCAAGAAGCGTCCACAGGGACGCCGTGACACACAGAAACACATGGGAACACATATGTTGGTCCTAGCACGGTGATCGTTTATGTCGATTAGGAAATTGGTTTCTTGCTTCAGGGTCAGGTGCTTCACAGCCATAAACTGAGCACAGCCGAGCGGCTTCACTGCTTGAAGAGTAGGTACGATCTGCAATGCATGGAGTTAGGAAATCTGAGCCAGACGCCCAAACGTGGCTCTGTACTTGTATTTAGTGGGTATCGTGAAAAGATGCTTCTTCTGGGTTGCTGTTAAGGTTAAGTTACTATATTGGGGAAACCCTATTATTTACTATATATACCCATTATGGTAACTTAATTTAAGTTCCTTAACAGCAACCCAGTCTTTTGTGAGGGCACCAGAGCAGATTCCACACCTACATGGAAATGGAGCACCAGAAGCTGAGGCGGCCCAGGGGCAATGGTTCGGGGTTTCGAGTTTACAGGCTTTATAGGGTTTAGGGTTTATAGGGTTTATAGGGTTTATAGGGTTTATAGGGTTTAGGGTATAGGGTTTATAGGGTTTATAGGGTTTAGGGTTTAGGGAATCCAAAGGCGGATTGGATTGCGTTGTTGCCTTCTTCAGTGTTGGGTGAGACTTCAAGGCAAGTGACGGAGTTGGATCATTCGTCCGGGTCATAGAGACGATGCATCGTTGGCAACATTAATGTCATCCAATTGGATCAAAAAACCAGCCCAAGTAAGAAAATTCAACATCATTCAAAACCAGTAGTTAGGGGTGGCAGCCTCTCGCTAACTAGAAAACGAGGGGGCTTCCCCAAAATTAGGAGTACCTGTGTCCCCATAATCAGGAGTCAGTATAGAGGGGTCTATTTTGGAGTCCCCTTATTGAGGGAAACTACCATGAAGAGAGCACTGAACATCCGGAATTCGAGTGCAGAAAGCCATGTTGATCTGAAATCTAGCCAGTGCAGCATGACGTGGGACCAGCGAGTGGTGTGCACTTGAAGCTGCCAGGAAGCAGATCACGGCTTTGACGTCCTTTTTAACAACAGATGGCACGCCACGGAGAAAGAAGAAAACAGAGGACGAGCAGACATTGAAAGCTGCAGCCGCTCAGAGTGAGACGCGCCAGGCAATGGCATAGCAATCCCGGACATCTCATACATGCATATGGGAGTTTCCCGAAATTAGAGGTACCATTATTATGGGGGTCCCTATCATAAGGATTATAGTATTTTGGGGCCAATATTGGGGTCCCTATTTACGGAAACTACCATCTCATACATGCATATCTCAGGCCAGCTTGCTGCCACTCACTGCAAGATATCCTAATTGTGTCCTAGATATGATGCTGGATTGCTCGGGAACGCCGTTGGCTTGGGCCAGCAGGCGTTTGTTAGTGCGTAACTTTCAGGCATCTGGCCCTTCATATCTTCCGGAGGGGTTATCTAGAACTATATTGGGGTTATATAGGGTTATACATCTTCCAGATTTTTCAGCTCAGCATCTCCAACCTATGCCAGAACCCATGGAAGAAGCTAGTAGGGTAATGCCTTGCGATTCCTTGACGGTTTGTTTCTGCTGTTAGTGCAAGCCCTGGATATCTTTTGACAAATAGCCGAACAGATTGCTGGGCCTTCTTACTGCCTGGAAAGTTGATGTTGGGACGCCCGAGGCGCAACTAGAACTTGTTCCTGTGGAGCAACATAGCCAGTAGCCTGGGTGATTGACCAGCCCTGCTGCACTCGCGAAGCAGATTGTGCTGGACTGGATTTTGGGTCAGAACTGGCACGGCACCCAGGCTGAACATTCGCCCGCGAACTCTTTCGGTATGCAACGCGTTCCATACATGACCCTGGTATCAGCATTCGGTTTGTTCTTCTTCACAACACAAAATTACATTGGGGTTGTCATCCAAGCCATGTGACGCTTAGATGCGTCCAAGATGTACCTCTGGAGTCTACCTGTTTCACTCGCCCATGCGAAAAGGAGCTCAAGCTGCCTGACTGATCAGCCCCACCTTTGCTGGAAACTGCTGCCTTGTGAAGCTACCTGATGCCTTCTAAATAGTTGTTCCCATTTTCTTTTCCCTTATCCCTATATAACCCCAAATAGTGGGACCCCAATATAGACCTTGGAAACCCTCATGCAACAAACCCCTGACTAGCCTCAGAAGGTTCAGACCAGAATGCCTTGACAACAGCATTTCCTAGAGGCGTGCCGCAAGTGTCTAATCCTCTCCCCCCCCCCCGCCACTTAGCCCTAATAATAACTACTCCCAATATCTCATAATATATAATAATGGGGGGGGGGGGTATTTAGTATTAGGGCGGTGGGGGGCTTCATACTGGGGGGAGAGGGTTAAGACTCACAATTTGGCTGAGGGCCCAAGCAGGGTCTGTATATCACCAAGGGAGCTGCAGCATGAGCATCTCTAATAGAACGGAGAGCACCAGGGTATGAAATGGGAGGCTCACTTTCTGGGTCCCGGATGTGTGGACACAGAAAAACCTACGGCCGAATGATGTATACTAGCTTTGGCATATTGGATACCTGGAATATTTATGCTTCCTCAAGGGCTCTTCAGAGGTTGCGCGGGTTTCCTTGAATTCCACATGGCGATCTCTCAAAATGGGGGGTACCCCCCAGACTGCAGGGTTTAATGATGAGTACATGGTTCTTTCCCAAAATAGGGGACCCCAATGTAGACCCCGTATACGTTAGTATGGGGACCGCCCAAAAAGGGTACCCCTAATTTGGGAAATCCGCGCGGGATGTCTAGGGCCTACATTGAGCCACTCAGGCCTGAAGATGTTCTTCTGGACCCACTTCTTGTCTACAGCTGGCCTCATAACTACTGGGTCATCGTTGGATTTACATTTTGAGGTCATAACACACCCAAAGAGGAATGCACAATGGTAGTGTCAATATGACCTTAGGAGCCGGGAAACAACCACTCCTCACCAGCGCGCTTTGGAATTGCCACTCTGCTGTGCCACTCTGCCGACGCTGCCTGGTTCTATACCTGAAGCATCTTCCCTTGCCGGCGAGCCGCCTGGCTTTCAAGGCTCATAGTTGCATGAATACGGACCCGCCCAGTACAGACCCCAAAGTATAGAGTCCCCACACAGGTACCCTTGTTTTTGGGAAGCACTCTTGTATTCGTCAGGCTACGAGTGAAAGTGGGAAGGTGGAAGTCCGCGTCCCTCATGGCATTTTTCTTCAATTCCTGAAGGGTGCTCGCAGGGAGCTATAGCAACATTCGAGGCCATCAAAGGAGGGGTACCCTTGGGTGCCCTAGGGACTCATGGGGTTTATAAGGAGCTAAACCCTAAACCCTAGCTTTGCTCGGAGTGATTTTTTGGATTTCTTTTTAATTTTAGGATAAATTCTGGTCCTGGCCTTCAGAATTGCACGACTAGCCATGCCGGAGATGCCGATGCCGGAAGAGGCGTCCTGGGACAGATTGGTCGTTTACGCTGCAGGGGAACACCCCTTCTAGCGGTTCCTGCAATAGGTTTCCAAGCATGTGTATTCTCTTGCTAAAGGTGACACCATTTTCCAAGATTCCAGTGTCGCGTGAACAGACATTGTGGGATGGACAATAGAATGGAAACTGCCGCATTATTCTGGGCTTTAGGTGCTCAACTTTGTTAGTTGGGACGGAGGCAATGGAAAAAAAGGATGGACATCACAATGTCACATAGGGTGTAGCTTGGGTACTGCCCGCCCTCAGTAACAGTTGGATAATAATTCTAATATGGTTATATATGGCGCTTAATAGGACCCCTATTATAGACTGTTACTGGGTGGGGGCAGTACCCAAGGTGTAGCAATTTGGGGTTAGTAGGGGTCTAGGGCTTAGCTAAAATGGGAGATCGGCTCTCCGAGATGGTGATAGGGACTCGGATTAGGTCTTTCTCATCGAGATGCTGCTTTTCTTTGCAGAGCCTGTTGCTGTTCCCTGAAGGTCCACGTACCCAAATAATGTGGCTTCAGGGCACCTTAAACCTTCGGTAGTTCAGAGCTTGGCGCCTATGTGGTTTTGAGGGGGAAGCTGCTAGGGGTACCCTCTGAAAATTTGCATTTTTAGGGTACCGCAACCGGATGCATCCCGGATGGAGGCCTGAGTCACTGTAGACCTGCAAGCCTCTAGAAAGGCTCATGGGTCCTATTTAAGTTCTTGAGGGTTGGCCAAAATATGGGTCCCCTAGTAAGGGTAATAGTCTTTTGATGTCTATATTGGGGTCCCCCTGCTTGTAGAAAATACCAATTATCCACATGTATAGCCCTACTTAGAATCCTGCTGACTGGGCTTATGTCGGTTACCCCGACCATATGTAGGGTTCTAGCCCTAGTTATAAGTAGCTTATAATGCCCCATGAACCACCAAGTATAGAATGCAGTCAAAACCCGAAACCATAAACCTAACCCTAACCCTGAACAACTCCAGGAGTGTCCTCCGATCCAGCATGCCAAGCAAGCAAACCCAGGCGCTCCTCTCGGCTTCAGGACTTATAGAGATTGTATGGTGGGGTGTGAAAATTACGGTTCCGTTTTAGGTCCCTAGCCATAAATTTGACAACCTTCCATATCTTGTGACTGCATTGATATGAAGCGGTATAGTCCTTGTGGCCCTGCAATAAAGCGTCGTCGCAGCCCCCCTTGCCCACATACGTAAGAGGCGCCAACTTACTGATAGAGAAGGTATCTGGGTTTTACAGGATAGGCTGATAGGAGACTTGGAGCTTCAAGTAATCAGTACATGAGTCAAATCAGCGCGGTCGTGAGAAACGTAGGTAGCTCACTGTCTCTCGGGGTCTAAGTGAAGCTTTTTGTCATGTGGCTCTCCCGAAGCTTTGTTTCTGGCATTTGGGGGAACAACTCGGGGAAACAGATACAAGTATCAGGACGCCCTCCAGGGCTTCTGATGAGTTTGTGGGGTTTCTCTCTCAATCCGTATAGGTCAAGTCCCCGTGTATGGGTTTGTATATGCGGGGACCGTGATTTTGAAGTTGCGCCAGCCTGGTTCTTCTCCCTGTGCGCGTTTTGTCACCAAGGAGGGATACCCTTGGAAATATGCTGGGGAAATGAACGGATCCTAGGATTATTCCTTTGAGGCTGTGTAGGGATGAATGCGAACCCTTGCTTTTGAGCACGCGTCATTGTCATCGTGGTTGTTCTCGACATTCTTGCCTAGGTGTGGCATCCTTCTCAATGGTAGACTTCCTGTTTTTGATTTCGACCAGTGAGCCGCAAAAGGGGTTTCAACACGGAAGAAGGCGTTTCTTAAGGTGTTTGGTCCAGGAGACGCGTGCTTTCAGATTTTGGGAGCGCTTTGCACGCGCCTTTTGTATTCTTTCGGGACCAGCGCGCATACCTCCTGCCAAACGAAGTGTTATGGCTGCAGTTGTAAGATGCTATAAGCAATAAACTTCCAAGTAAGTACTATACTCCAGTTGATACCTGTCTATGCGCAAAAGCAGGCCCCTTATCAAGTAATGACATATCTTCTAACCCTTCTACGACAACTGTGCTTCAGCCTCAGAAGCTTCTATTCTAATTTACCAGGCGTCTGCATTCCATTCCTATAAATTTGTCCGTGGGCCTAGTTACTATTTTGTCGTCCACTTGCTTTTCCATTTGATTTTCCATTATTGTCCCAAACTCTGTACAACCCTAGATATTCTAATGTTCGTCTATAAACCGATAAATCCGCTACATATCCTTGTGCATCCCGAAATGCCTAAACTGAACCCCTAAATCCTGGATCCTAGACCCTAGACCCTTAACAGCCATGAACGCCTAAATATCGTTGTTTCCCAAAATGGGGGGGCCCCAATATAGACCCCAGAATACTATAATCATAATCCTTACTATGGGGACCCCTAAAAGGGTATCCAAAATTTTGGAGAAATCCTAATCCCTATATAGCCCTCTATAACCCCCACATTACCCTATTAGCTTCCATTTTCTTTTTCCTAAACCCTAAACCCTTATATGACCCCCAAATCCTGAAACCCGAAGCCATATGGAGAAGGCCAGTTGTGGCGGCCAGATAGCGAAGCCTTGACGGGTCCCGAGCTGCTCGGGCTGAAGGCTGAATGCTTTAGGCTTTAGGGTTTAGGATTCAGGGTTTAAAGG